CTAGAATTGATCACGCGTGTCATCAGGATAACACATGGTCGGACCGTACGTGCTTATAAAGGTGGCAATCTTACCTCTTCCGAGTCGTAGGCGAACAGTCATCAGTCGCGAGCTGATGCCTGTTGGTTCACCCACCAACTGGCCATGGAGGCGATCGGATATTGCAAATCCGACCCCATGATCACGTGGTGCTGAGGCGGCGTTGCCCACCCAGTAGAATGTGTAGCCAGCACCTGCTTCATGCAAATTACCTTGCGCAGCGAGCCGGGTTTAACTGAGCACCGCAATATCGATGTTGTAGCGCGCCAGTTCCATCGCGACCAGTGCAGTGCGTCGTTCCGGGCGCTCGCTGGAGTTCCGGTCCAGTAGTGTGCGCACATTCCAGCACCCGATGCTGAGTGCTTTGCGCGCAGGCATACGATTGCATTGGTGGGCAATCGCACGCGAGGTGGTCGTTGTGCTTCAGAGGTCTGTTTGAAGGACTCCACCCGGAGCCTTTGGTTCAATAACCTGACCCACAAGGCAGTGGGTGATTTGGTGGTTTGCTTGAGGGACTCCGCCCGGAGACTTTGGCTCAATAGCCTGACCCACAAGGCAGTAGGGAGCAGATCCAGCTCGGGAATGTGATTGCAGAGACAGATTGGGATCTGCTTGACGGCCGTCACACGCAGCCTGAGGTACTGGAACAATTATTATATGTTTTGCGACCGTACTAGGATACGCACCTGCGACCACGGCCAGACGCAGGTGAGTTTTGGCGGGTTTGCACCAATTTGACCAGGGGCTGCCTGGCTTGAGGCGGGCAGTAGCAAACCATTGAACACCCAGAGGTGCCCTCCCACCGTCAGAGACAATGCGTGGCGCTCATGCTCTACGCCAATCGAGCTGTGAGCTTATAACCCGGAAACCTGTTGTCTCCCATGGCTAGGTTTTACGGGAAGAGGGCCATCGACCACTTCCTAACCTCCGACGAGGATGGACTAGGATACTGCCAGGGCGCCCATATCTGACAGAACGCCTCGGGTCCTCAGCCAAAGCCTTCGATTAAATGAACACCCGAAAGGCAGCGGGTCTAGCACATGGTCAGTTAGCCGACTCATGCGGATTGGTGTCCTGGATCTTAGCAGGGAGAAGGGCGAGACCCAACTCCCACCCAGCGGTCACCACGAGGAGGCGCCCAGAACATGAACAAATGGCACAACAGTAGCAGCAGTGGGTAGACTATCTGTCAGGATCTAGCCATCACCAGCCTCAGCGAAGCACAGGCTCTCCCGCCATATATATGTATATTTCCATACATATATATATATATTTCCATATATATATATATATATATATATATATATATATATATATATATATTTCCATATATATATATATATATCCCGTGTAAACCCGAAGAAATAAGACTGGGAGGCAAGTGTATGGGAGCCACGTTTCATCAACGGAGCCGGCCTGCACTTCTTCACCATGGACAGCAGCAGCTTTCCTGTTTATCTAATTTGGGAATCAGACGTACGCAAGGCGGTGGCTGAGCCGTAGGACGTTCCACGCAGGATGGAACCAGGAGGACTGTGCACTCCTTCCCTCCAGCAACGACTCACAGTCTCCTTCAGCCAGTACAATCGAAGTGGATGGTAATAGACAAGTAAGCACCTTGTAAACATTTACATCAAGCGCAGCCAAGCATTGCATATCGCACCGGAGGTGTCATGTGTCAATCGTAAGCAGTCGAGTTTTGCCCGACCGAGATGACACAGCACATCATATGCTTCGTTAACCGCAAGCTTGACAACTGCTCAATTGCAGTTCGATCCTGCATAACCACGTACACTCACATGCGATTGTTCACACTTGTGTGTGTGAACTGAATGGAGAAAGACTAACCGTTATGGACATTAATACTACAAAGACAAGACTAATATCCATATTCAAGTTAAGAAAATCGCACGTACGAGAATAAGTAACCAATAAGAACTGTTGCTGTGCGCTGATTTCTTTCCGATGAAATATACTAAGGCCCTGAGGTACCATCATTGTTGACCCTACCTTCAAAGCCTACTCGGAAGATTGGTCATTCCTAATTAAACTTCCAACATGCGCCTCTGCGTTTCCATCTCCAATCCCTATGTTAGGTTTTTTCATAAGCTCAGCTCAGTATGGTGGATGGACAACGGATAATATAGCTATGCTTACTCCCATGAGTAACATGTTGAATAGAACATGAGGCATCAACATTATGATAACCAATAGTCAGTTAAAATTCGGGATTGTTCACTTTCCACGGATTTTCCAGAGAGATTTTTCTTGTGGTGCGTGCTTCTACGTTGATCACGCGAGCGAAGGAAACTTGTTTAGTCTGGTAATCCAAATTTCAAACTTTACACCGAAGCGAGGAAGCGTTGTTTTATGGGTACTGTATAACGCTAAGCGCTTAGAGGCTTTGATTCACGCGCATCCACCGGACTCAAAACGACTAAGCTGGGATTAGAAACATACTCAATAATTTGTGATCCTAGTTTAGATGCTTATCAACACCTCGATTCGTTCAGAAGATTCAGGGAAATGGCTTTAACTGACACACATGCCTAATACGGATGAGGTCATGGATGAACTGAACCTTTGTTCTGCGAGGCACCGTCTCTCCAAGCGTCGTGCTAATATTTGGCAGCAGGTCAAGATAGGGTCATGTAATCTGCAAAATAATTTCAAGGAGCAGAATATAAGTAGAGAAAGAGATGGAGGCAGCCTCGCATAGTCTGATGAATAATACTAGGGAGCTTACGTAGTGATGTAAATCACAGACAAATAAGATGCCGTAGCTCACTGTCTCTGCATCTCACCGGTACAAAAGTGTAGTGGGCAACAAGTGGTTATTTTAAAATGAATAAGCTCAATAAGAGGTCAGTTCGATGTGGCTCTTATGTCCTAGACAGGCGCAATGCAGATACTGCATGGCACCAAGTCAGTAGTGAATCATTTTATAATGAAACTACCCAAGCGGCTTGCATTATCGATAGAATACGGATAACACAGAGATGACGGAGAAAGTAAGCAACATTTTCAAGTTAGCAAGGAAATGGTGCAGTTAAGTTAACTGATGCAAACAACACCACTGATTTAGATATGCCCAGACAGATTAAAGTCGGCGGATGAAAACGGAGAACACTGCTACGATCACTCATGGCTAGCATGTGAACTGGAACTTGAAGCATCAACATAATTATGGTATTAGCTAGTCAGTTACTTGCCGAGATTGTCCACTTTACACAGATGTTACGGAGGGATTTTTATTTCCATCCATGGTCCATCGTGTCTACTAGGAACAAATGTTGTTGAGGATTGAACTTAAATTCCAAAACATCACCCCCAAGCGAGAAAGCGTTGCGGAGTACCAAGACTCCAGAGATAATGATTGATTATTATACCCTATTCTACACTCAAATTCGAAAACGGATATAGGGTACTGTAAACATCAAGCGCTCGGAAACCTGGAACTAACGCGGTCCCAACGTAATCAGAACCACGAATCCTGTACTGCACAATCGATACACAACAATCAGTGCTTCTAGCATATATATATATATATATATATATATATATATATATATATATATCACCTTATTACTTCGGGTTTACGCTGGATATAAGGTGTGTGGTTGGAGCTGGGGTGATGCAGCGCAAGCCATCCATGGTCCCTCTGTAGGCGCAGGCGTCCTGTGGTTGGCCACAGTGACAGGCAAATCCGAAACCGGATACCGCCAACCATATCTTTTATTTATAAATTTCATTCGCCCTTATTTGGTTTGTTCTGCCTACCTGCATAATCCTCTATTAACTTGCATACATTACTAATTGTGGTATCTTCGTAATGTTGGTTACGTTTGTCGCATTTTTTGAATAACTTGTGGACATTGTGTACTTATCACGGATTCGTTGCTAACCAACTTACTTCATATAATAATTTAGCGGAGTTATGTCGGCAAAACAGTACGCTTTGACAGATATGTTTTACTTGAGAATGTTATTTCAAGTGATTTGCTGTTGTTTGACATCCCCGGTGTGGCTGCGCTTGATGTGCATGTTGACAAGGTGCCTACCTGTCTATTACCCACTCCCTCGTCCATACTGGCTGCAGGAGACAGTTGGTCGTTGCTGGAGGGGACGGGGTGCACGGTCCTTGTGGCCATGCTAGGCTCGAAGAGTGGTTTCATGCACTCAGTGTGGAGGGGACTACGGTCCAGCCACCGCTTTGTGTGCGCTTAATTCCCCAAATACAGCGTGCTTGTGTTTGCCTGTGAAGGAGTGTGGGCCGGCTCCGTTGATGAAACGTGGCTCCCATCCACATGCCTCCCGGTCTTATTCCTTCGGGTTTATACTGGATATGGGGTGTGGGGATGGAGCTGTGGGTGGTGCAGCGCAAGCCACCCACGGTCCCTCTGTAGGCGCAGCCGTTTTGTGGCTGGCCACAGTGACAGACACATCGAAACCCGGATGCCGCCAACTATGTGTAGCACCCAGGTGATACTTTAACTTGCTAGTTGAACACCATCAGATAGGTCAGGCCGTAACAGCAATGGGATCGGACGGAGTAGAGATCTGAAAATAACAGAGTCGGTGGTTTGTCGGTCCTTCGTGTCTGCCTGCAAACGCACGGTGGGAGCTACTGAGGAGTGTATGAGATGTTAACCTTCGCATAGTTTGAGAATACGAGGTAGGATAAACCGAATGAGTAATTTAGTTATGGATCGGTTATCACTGTTACCTACCAGTAGGAGGAGAATAAGATAAGGCACAAAATCAGTCCAACAGACGGTATTCTCGGGTTGCCGAATTCTTTTCATTAGAACTTACCATATTGTGTTGCACAATGTATCGGATTATGTCACGCACGCCGCATGAAACCATATTTGAAGTGTAGCTCAGAAAGATGGTGCAGCCAGTTGATTCACGTTTCAGTGGATGGAGCTCCTGTGCGGTCGTAGCTCTTCCCTGTGCTTCTACAGAACTCGGCTTTTCCATACGTTTGTCCAGCTGGAATGTTGACAAGTATATCATTCATAGTTAAACACGCATGGGGATAACAATATGGTAAATATTTTACTAGTATAGTTATGGGATGTAGCCAAGTTCGACAGCCAAAACAGAATACTGTCAAACGCAAGATGCATCTCAACAAGGAAAATGGAAGCCGATACATGGACCGGCAAAACGGTGGTGCATCCGTAGAAAGTGTCGGAGCCTAATGACTATATGGATGAGTACATTTTGAAAAAGATCTGTGCGGTGCGCGTAAAACCACTAAATGTATAAGTCAACCGCTGGGATGTAGTTGCAGAATAAATGGCAGATAAATTAGAGGTCGGACAAACTTGTTCTTCTGATCTTCTCGGCTGCCAGTGTGGTAGCAATGGATTTACAAAAAAATGGTCCAGTTTGCTGCACTACGACTTTCCAACTGGGAAGAGGCAATCCGGCCGTACCCCAGCACATGCACACCCATGGACAGCAGAACAAACTCGTCCCATAAAGACTGCATCACCTCAAAAATGTCGCTTTATTTGTTTTTCACACCAGAGGGTATGCGAAAACATGTTACCACTTAAGTGCCCCCATATGCTTCTCTTACGCTTCTCATATTTCCAGCTATGGGAGCTGCAGAGCCGATGAAGTTGCGCCATCTACATTAGTGTTAACCTATTGTCCAATAGTTTCTTGCTAACAAAATCCTCTTGGAAAACCATATTGTCAATGATCGCATCCTAAGGGAGATAGATTAAGAGATTTCACACACTCCAGAGACTCTCCTTGTTGGCACGAGTTGTGCGTGTCCGAAATCCAGATTCAGGACTCTCAGGAAGTTAACCAACTAACTGTGACTAGGTTATCCCCTCGCAAATAGGTGCACGCGAATTCAGAGTTTGATGCATAGTCACAGGTAAAGTAGGAGTTGACATCGTTCCGGAGCTGAATACGCACTAGTTTAATGAACTTCCAAGCATAGTCGTGTGTCAGCTTGTGGGAAGTAGTTAAAGTATGCGTATGTGGTAGTGCTAACCCTGATTGTTTCTGGTTTGTGTTAGCCCGGACTGACTGCATTCTTGAGAGTACCAAAGGTGCCATCTACAGAGAATTTATCAGGTGATCGCATGTAACCAGTGCGGGGATAACATCCGTTGCCAAAGTTCGAATGCGTAGTTAGGTGGTTTGTGCGACCGAGAAATTCAGTGAGCTCCCTCATTCTGGTCAATCGGAATCCAAGAACACCCGTACTAGTACAGAGTGCATTATGACTAAATGCAAGCTACAGCGTGGCCTGAAATCTGAAACAAGAGCCAGGTGGAAACAAGAAATAGTGGGGGTGAACGTAGCAAGTAACCGCTGGGTAGGCCGTTTCAACCAATTCGCTACACGTTTTCAACAAACTCAGTTGGGAAACCATCAGAGACAACGTCAGAAACTTTGCAAAAAGCAAAAAATGCTCAAAAAAACACAGTTCGGTTTCCGTCGAGGATTAAAAATCGTAGATGGCACTTGCATGCTAAGTTTTGATGCGGCGCCCGATGTGGTTCACCTGCTTCAAAAGGTGTTAAGCGGTATTCTTACTTGCTCCTAGTGACGAGACTGCATCTTACGGGATGTGAAGGTACACGTACCCCTTCGACTCACGGAACTATACTGGGTGGTGCTTTCGGGGCCTCTGAGAGCTACTTCTACCAGACTGACCAATGGTTAGATGTCAGACGAACTCAATCTCCTGGCTCTTTTAGTTGGAAACACGATGACATCCAATGCTGTAAAACCGGATCGTTACCATCTCTCCGCTCCCTTGCGGCTAGGCTTTCAGCCAGACTTTGTCTAGGTTAGCGTACCTTGGCAGTACCCCGGCTTACGTATAATCATGAAGGAATAAATTTGTCATCAAGTCCCAGTTACATCTTGCATCGGCCGACGCGCAGAATTAATAAGCGAAAATATGCTACTGCAGATGCTTCACCGATTTCTCTTCCACCTGTATTCCTTGATCCTCTCCTAATCCGAACTTCTGATGTAATTTCTACAACTCCTAGCTTAGTTGAAGGGGCTGTCGCAGTAATATTGGAGTTCTACCAGCTGTAGCTGCATTCCAGTGGCATTTTTGGGCCCACCATAAACAGCCTTTTATCATCTCATCATCTTATGGCTATATTTCTAGACTTCAGGATGGTGTCAGACAGTCGATTGCTCCAAACTCCTAGTCACAACTATTAATAAGAATATTCCCATCAAATATGAGAAAAATTTTTGTGCTCGGTACTCAGACACCACAGGTCGCGTCAAAGTCTATGGTGAATCGTCAGAGTCTTCACCGGCGACGAGTGACGTACATCAGGGATCTACAATCTCTTCGTTTCACTTAGCCTCATAATTTACTCTATCGTGGAAATTTCACCCGCGGAATCTTACGATGGTGGCATTGAAACACCGCCTGATGTAGATCTGAATTCCGCTAACGGTATCGACAGTTGCGATATTCCGTAGCCTGCGAACATATATGGACCTATCTAAAACCGTGGGAGTCAAAGGAAGGTACAATTCTCTTATAAAGAAAACCGAACACAGTACAGAGCCGTCCATGGTTTCATCTGAGCACATTGTACTACCCGATTTCCAAATCTAAAGCCAAGGTAACGCTGGGCAGTCCCCGTAGTGAACCAATGATTTGGTATGCGTCGCACACCAAAATGAAAATTGTTTTGCTCGACGACAAGGAACCAGAATCAGCTGATGATTGTTTATACTTTGGCAGCTAATTTAGCGGCGATAGGCGTGTAGCTATACGGTTCTTTGCTGTGCTTTGTACTTCGTTAGATATTGGGCTCCAATGGTTTCTTGAGGTACTTCACAAATTGTGCCTGCCCTCAAAGCTTTTGTGACGTCCGGTAGTTCTGTTTCCAGTCTTTCGGACAGCTTCGTCCCCCCTACGCCGGGACACTAGTTTCACCGATTCCAATCTTCCTTCACTCTTGATCCCCATTCATTTTTGATGGCTGGGGCGAATTGTTGCTATGTTCTAATCCTTTTGATAAACTCATACTTTGTTTGTAATCTCTCCCTATCACTATTTGTATGAGCCACTACTGGCATTCTCGTTCACCTGAAATATACCTATATTCTTGATATTCGCTGTCTTCTTGGGAGTTGTCAGAATTCATTAAAATTGATTCGCTGCATTACATTTTTCCATTTTTTGGACCTCATCTCTTGCTGACCATAGAATTTCCATATATCTACTAACGGTCTATTGCGCTGTACATTGTCTAACATTGTTCCGTTCTTCAATGTACGCTTCCATTCTTGGCTATTAGGAACATTAATGTTCCTCTTGTCGATTTCCCTCATCACGGTATTAACTCGCCAGCCTAAACTGCTCTCGGTTGACTACCAGAGCAGATCACATCTGACTTCTGTTCAATCATGCGGCGTCATCCATTTCACCCCTGTCCAACTTTTACAAAGAGATCCTATATGTCATATCTGCCATGCCAGATTTACTAGCAGAGTAGACCTTAAACGACGCTGCTTTCATCTTCAAGACGCTGCGGAATCTTGGATAAGAGACGCTCCAAGCAATATATGTTCTGTTTGCGATCGTCATTTTCGAACTGGAAGGGCGCGAACTCATCCGGAGGATAACATGACATGTATTGCCTCCAGGGCAGCGACATCTAGTGTGCACTGGCCTGCGAAAGATCACCGGCTAGTGCAAACAACAACATAATTGAGTCCCACAGTAGCATTATCTAGGAATCTATTACCTCGGTTTAATCAATAATTCTTGGCGCGTATGGCCCCCGCTTCAAGGAAAAAGCTGCAACATCTACAATGGCAACGATCCCTATGCTTGAGTCATTCATAACCGGGCCTTACAAGACGCGTGAACTCCCTCCCCCACAGGTCCGCTACATTGATGTCCATGCCTACTTCCGAGTCGCGTCCGATCTCAATGACCCCCCCCCCCCTTATTCTAGCCGCGTATAGGAACCTACAGATGTCTGTTGCAACCCGGTACAAAAAGAATGGGCACATACCGAGGATCCATGTTTTGGACCAATTTGGGCTACTGGGCTGAAGTTGGACAACTGTACCGCGTTAGCCCATGATGCCGAATGCCCACGCTGCTCTGGCTGTGACGGAGTGTTCGAAACAGTGATCAATAGTCGTTGATCGATTATCACTGCGGTTAGTTGTCTGATTGTTCGCTGAGCTCGGCAGGTTGACTGCAAACGTTTCGTCACCACTCGAGGTGACATTGTCAGTGCGCGTGTATTTAGCAGAGTGGCGCGTACGAAGCGTCAGTGAGTGTGAGTGATCGATCTCCTAGCCGCTAGTCTGAGTTTGGATTATTCGACGAGCACATGACCACAGAAATCGATCTCTGATTCTCACCTCGTAGTGTACGCGTTTGATGCAGTAGTCTAGCGCTCTGTTCCGTTAGATTTCTTCTGCTAATTCGGGGATCTTTCATCCGTAGTGCTGTATATATAGCATCTATTTCGACGTGTCGGTTTATTGAACTGTCGGTAGAATACCATGCTTCCAAGAATTCTCTAGCTTGCCTCGAATTTCCATGGTCTAGGATCTTAACGTTCTCTAGGTCGAAGTGGTGGTCTTCTTGGTCTTCATGCATGGAAACTAATGAATGCGGGTCGTGTCTCCGTATGGCCATTCTGGGTTCGTTGATCCGTGTTGATAGGTTCCTTTCAGTTTGCCCGATGTAGTGTTTGTTACACTCTTTGCAGTCAATTTTGTAGATGGCATCATTCTGACTGCCTTGTTTAACTTTGTCCTTCGGTCTTGAAAGCAATCTTCGCAAAGTACCTGTTGGTTTGTGGGCTATCAAGATTCTATGTGGTCGTAGCAATCTTGACGTTAGTTCAGATACATTCTTGATGTAAGGAAGCGCTACCCGTTTATCAATGTTTTCCTGCTGTTGTTGCTGCACCCTCTTCTCTAGGCTTCTGATGAAGTTTCTTGGATACCCGTTGTTTTGC